TTTTTGGAAATTTTCAAAATAAATTAACTCGGTTAATTTGGATTTATTTAAAGAACGGTAAAGAGAAAATATGTTTCTTTTATCGAAATCTAACAGCCATAAAAATATTTGCACTTATTTAAGACTCACCCTGTATATGTGATATATTAAAATTACTTTTTAAATTTTATTTTTTAACAATCATTGTTCTTTTTTCATAATATTTTCATATTTTCAATAAGTATTGTCTCATTTCTTCAATTCTCATTTCTTCAATCTTCTGGAAATCTTATTTCAAAATATTTTTATATTTCTCCTTTATAATAAGAGCTGAACATTGTATTACACCACTGGCAAGCGAAACATTGGGTCGGTGTTTACATGTGTAAGAGTGAATAGCTTTGGCAGCGATGTTTTGACTCCTCCTATGGTGTATACAGTGGTATCATACTAATTAATTACGAAAAAAAACGTATTAAAATGTTATCTAAAGCACAGAATATCTAGCTACGCAACAGAAGCCTCGATACATGTATAAAATTGTAGGTGGCAAAAGGAGACAGGCTTTTAAAGCCTGTCTCCAAATCAGATATTTTGATGCGGTAGTTTCGCTACTACATAATAGAGGGCAATAAATTTAAAAGAAAACAGTTTTCTAGAAACAAAATTTAAAAGAATTTTGGGCAGTGTTGCCATTGTGTAATTCATATTGTAATACTTCCTGATAAAACCTACGTTCAAATTTGCTACATCATTTAAACATATTAAAATAGATCAGAGCTCTTTTTTCAAACGTTTAAGTATTTAATTTGCCATGATAGTTGGAATTAAATCTTATGAGCTGAATTACAATCACTTCCTGACGTTTGATTGTAAAATTCAATCCTGAATTTTGATTGTAATTCGGCGACAATATAATAAGTATTGTTCTACTATTATGATACCAGTTCCTGACGTACCATGAAGCATATCAAGTGATACCATAATATAATACCATATTACGATACATGGCGTTAGATTGTGCTTAAACTTGGTATACTATATCTTCAGTGACATTGTAATATTATGGTACCATGGAGCATATAAAGTGGTACCTTCTATAGTACCATATTATGATACCCCTTCCTGATGGGGATTCGATTGGGCTCATATTTGATATATACTTGAGTATTTTTGATGACATAGCAATAATATGGTACCATAAAGCATATCAAGTGGTACTATAATATAGTACCATATTAGGTACATGGCGGCCAATATGGCTTAAACTTGGTATACTACGTAGATTCGGTGACATTGTAATATGATGGTACCATGGAGCATATTAAGAGTTACCATAATGTAGTACCATATTAAGATACCATTTTCTGGCGTTGGATTGGGCCTAAACTTGATGTACTACGTATCTTCGGTTACATTGTAATATGATGGTACTATGATGCATATAAAGTGGTTTCTTAATATAGTACCATATTTCAATACCATTTCCTAGCATTCGATTGAGCTCATACTTGATATATACTTGCGTATTTTTGATGACATTGCATTATTATGGTACCATGAAGCATATCAACTGGTACCATAATATAGTACCATATTACGTACATGGCGTTCGATTGGATTTAAACTTGGGATACTACGTATCTTCGGTGACATTGTAATATGATGGTACTATGATGCATATAAAGTGGTACCTTAATAAAGTACCATATTACGATACCATTTCCTGGCGTTCGATTTGGCGTAAACTTGGTATACTACGTATCTTCGGTTACATTGTAATATGATGGTACTATGATGTATATAAAGTGGTACCTTAAAATAGTACCACATTACGACACCATTTCCTGGCGTTCGATTGTGCTTAAATTTGTTATACTACGGATCTTCGGTGACATTGCCAATATTATGGTACCTTAAAGCATATCGAGTGGTACCATAATATAGTACACAATTATGATATCATTTCCTGGAGTTCGATTGGGCCCAAATTTGGTATACTTGCGTTTCTTTATAAAGATTTGTTTAATTAATAATTTTAATTTATTTTCCGAATTTTAATTTATTGTTCGATGTCGGCGACAGCAACTTTTATGCCGAACTAATATATTATTAATTGTACCTGTGTCACTTTTTAAAATCTACCTAGGTCAATATAAATAAGGTGGCAAACAGAAGAAATTGGTTATTATAGTATTTTTTAGTCAATTAAGATTTTTTGTACTGCATTGTAATAAATTATTTCCAATTTCCATTATTAATTAACTTATATTTCATTACTAACGTTCCAGCATTAATAAATATCACTATCAATCGCTCTGTATATTATTAATTTTAAAAGTAATTAAAGGTATTTTCTTAGTTAACATTATAAGGGTTTTTTAATAAAATACTTAAAACTATTTTAAAAGCCAAACGAATAATTAATATAAGTGTATCTGACAAGAAAAGAAGAATTCAGAAAGAAACTATTATACACAATAAAAAGAATGGGATGCTAATTAAAGTCTTTTTGAATCTGAAAATTGTGCATATTTAGCCGAGCTTCAAAGCCCTCGACGAGCCGTCGATCCAAAACCGAAGATTCAAAATTTCCAATTATATTCTGATTATGATATTGTCGCGCCATCTAGTATTCTATTTGTGCAATTTTAGCTCTTTCATTTCGAGTATTTTGCGTAGTCTGTTGCGTAGCTACGTATTCTGTGCCTAAAGGTACAAAACTAGTATCGACGTATAACACATATCAAGTACATACAGGGTGAGTTTCCTACGATGTTCTCTAGGGGTATCTCGGAGATAAAGAGTCGGTTAAATGGGGAAATAATTGCAGTTTTGTGGGGTCATAAATATGTGCCTTTCAAATTTTAGAAAAAGCTCATGACTTAGTAGATATTTCGAAAAAACAAATTTCGGCTATTTTGAAAATTGTCCATAATTCTATTATAATCTATTTTAGACAAAAAGTTTTCGGATAAAAGTTGTAGATAATCACATCCCTAATGAGTGTTCTCCAATTTTTTCTAAAGCCTGTCATTTATGACATATAACACAAACATATGTTTTTTTTTAAATGGAAACCATAGTTGCCCATGACTTCATAAAAAGCGCCATTTTTTAAACTTTTCAGCGATATAAGCTATAATATGTTTTTTTTTCGAAAAATTACAAAGTCATAGCCAATTCTTATCTTTCTTGGCTAATTTCACTTAGTTGGTATGGTATTCTTATTATGTTATGATTTATAACTTTATTTAGACAAAATATTTTATTAAACGGTTCTTTACAATTTACATTACACAAAGTAAACCTTAAAAAAACTAATATCACTACATACACTTTAAGCTATTTTAGCAAATGTTCAAAAAAGCGGCCATTGTTTTGAATACATAAAAAATGTACCTTTTTAAAACTGAATTACAAGCTTTTTCCAGAGAACGGCCATTCAACTTTAATAAACTTCTCCCGTACCGCCTCTTCGAGTGCCTCTCTTAATTCATAACTTCTTTTGTAAACCTTGTTGTTAACCATACCGCATAAAAAATCTAAAATGGATAGGTCAGGTGATCGAGGAGGCCCATGCAATTGGTCCACCTCTTCCTATCCCTGAGTTTGCATAATTATGATATAAATAATTTTTAACATTTCTGTCATTATGAGGGGGAGTGCCATAATGAAAGTCATATTGGAACCACTCTATTGATGCGCGAGTATCTAAATTTAACTTTTCTAAAAAACGTAAGTAACGTTCACCGGTTAACGTATCCTCGTAAATATATGGCCAAGAAAACTTGAACCAATAATCCTACACGCTATTCTTCATTTGAAAAATTCATATTTACAATTTTTGTTTATTTTAATTTATAAAGTTTGGATGTGACAGTTTCACATTACTGAGAGCAACGACGATTGAACTTGTTTCCATGGCTAACTAAGTGAAATTGTTTAAAAATTATAAGAATTTGCTATACTTCAGTAATTTTTCGAAAGAAACATATTATAGCTTATATCGCTGAAAAGCTTAAAAAGTGGCGCTTTTTATGAAGTCATGGCCAACTATAGTTTCCATTTAAAAAGAAGATATGTTTGTGTCATATGTCAAAAATGACAAGGTTTAGATAAAAACGGAGAACACAGTCTTATTAAGGATGTGATTATCTACAACTTTTATCTGAAAACTTTTTGTCTAAAATAGATTATAATGGAATTATGTACAATTTTTAAAATAGCCAAAATTTGTTTTTTTCGAAATATCTAGTAAGCCATGAACTTTTTCAAAAATCTGAAAGGCGCATGTTTATGAACCTACAAAACTGCAATTCTTTCCTCATTTAACCGACTCTCTATATCCATTAGTTTCCGAGATACCCATAGAGAACATCGTAGGAAACTCACCCTGTATAATAGCAGAAAAATAATTATCGAATTCAATAAGAAAACGCTAAAAAGATGGAGTGGACTGTTTATTTACCTATAAAACGTAACTCCTGGCTCTTTCTTATAGCTGCGGCTTTTACACTTGAAAGCTGGGCGACTAATCACCATTGTAACAAAGTTTGTACAAGATTTATGCGAAGTTCCCTACACCGAAACCATTAAAAATCGCTAAAATTGTCGCCAATGACCAGCTAATGACTCATTTGTTACATCCAAAAAAATGGCAAATCACAAATTCTACTGCAGCCCGTGTATGGGTTTTACATGTCCTTGTGTTCTTTAGTCATTGGTAGAAATACACTTTTATTTTTTTTTCTAAAACAAAAATACCAAAAAATAAGAACCAATCACTTCTATTTATATTGATTTACCAATTATGATGTAATTATGTAAAGGAATAATAACTACTGAAATAATAAATGGAATAAAAAAGCGTTGGTTGAATCGACCAATGAAATTTTATATCATACGCAATTGTTAACGTTAATTAGTTCATTATATGTGTACGCAAATCCAACTTGATATAATTGGGATTTTACCATTTTATCAAGTCTGAGGAAGTAAATATTTGTTTTTAGTTTATGAATAAAGTTACAAATGGATTGTGACCCCTTGATGATACCAAAAACGCATACATATGTGTATGATATAAAAAAGTCTTATATAGTGCCTCTTATATTTCTTTCTAAACAGTAAATAATCAACAGTTCTGCTGAGTTGCTCAAAATGAGTTCCAAATGTATAATTCTTCTTTTGTCAATATATATTTGGTGTTCAGTAGAAGTCACCAACTCACTGATGGGTATGTATTATAATATATAATTAATTTAAAATATGTATGTAAATTTATTGTTTTGCTACTTAGAATACATAGGATATGCTACATGAAACTACTTTAACTGATATAAGAACAGTACATTTTTAATAAACTATACCTACCTACCTACCTATATTTCGTATCTATTAAACTTTTAGTTACGTAATCGAGGACGCGATTTTTAAATTCATTGTTGATAACCATGGACAATATGGACATATTCGGTGCTGTGCTGACTAACTGGAATTTAAATTTCGCGCTGAGGATTCAGTTAGTAGTTCTGCTGTAAAAATGTGAAGTTGCGGCATTTATTTATTTATTTCCTTGACATTTTCGTTCGTTTTGACATTTTTTGTATTTACTTTGTATTACGAGTTTTTGATTTAAATAAATAGTGTTGTGATACTTTAAGCTTGTAAATCTTTACTAGCAGAGTTTTCAGTCGAACATTGTTCTTTTTAGAACCTTTTTTAGTGCGAAGTTGATTAAAAAAATATATATAAAAGTGGACAATGCTGTGTCCGTCAAGCTTAATCACGTGACTAAAGGATTAATTACTGTAAAAAAAAATTTTTTGTTTCTTTCTTTTGTAGATTACTGTTGGCGACCATTTACGGGCATTGCACCTCAAGATGCTTTTACTGTCGGCAAGACCCAAAGTGGACAAAATATTTATATTGGTCAAGTGGCAATCAGACTGCATCCTGGTGTATATCCAGCACCCCTGTTTATAGGAGAACATGTTGTGGCATCCAAAGATGGACCCAAACCTGCATGGAATTTTGTTCAGGTTAGAGATGTATAATAGTATATTACATACCAAGGGAAGTGTTCCATTACGGTCGAGAGATTAACTAAATCTCGAGACAATAATGAAAACTTTCCTCCGAGGTTTGTATACTATTTTATTTACAACCACATCATTAATTAAAAAATAGGGACAGTATTTTATTGGGGTGCATCTCAAAACTGGCTTACCCCTATAACTTTTTTATTTTTTCAGATAAAAAATCAAGATTTGGTATGATTTTAGTGTATGACATAAATTAGGATTGATTGACGTATTCAATTATTTTCGGTCACTTCCTGTTTCACCGGAAATGCTTAAAACTTTTGATTTTTAAATGGCACTCTCGGTATTTTGTTACTTTATTCGATAGAAAATGACACTCTGAATAGAACTTTTAACATTTTCGCATATTTTATTACATATTCAGTTTATTTGGAATTATAACATGCGGTTCATAACGACAATTTGACTCGAAATACCAAGTGTGTTGTACCAAATTATTCGTAAAAAATGCTTTTTCCAAATATGCTAATGAGCCACCCTTGTTCCATTTGAAAAAATTGAGATATAATTAAAAATTTAATTTGGGCATCTTTTAACAGGCCAGGAGAAAACACGAAAAACATTAGGCGATCAAATCTATTTTTCCAAGGCTCCTTGTTTAAAAATTAGTATTTTTAAGACAGTCATGGCACTCTAGATTGAAATTTAAAATACATTTTTTTTAAGCGAAAATTTCAAAAGTCGACATATGATAAGTCATTCTATTCAGAGTATCATTTTCTATCAAATAAAGTAGAAATATATCAAGGGTACCATTTAAAAATCAAAAGTTATTGTAGTCATTTCCTGTGAAACACGAAATGATCAAAAACAATTGAATACTTTATTCAATCCTAATTTATGTCATATACTAACATACCAAATCTCGTTTTTTTTATCTGAAAAAATAAAAAACTTATAGAGGTAAGCCACTTTCGAGACGCACCCGGTATTTCGAAACTAAAAAAAGCCAATCATAGTCATCACATGTTTTACTGACACAAGCTCCATAAACGAAAGTAGTTATATTAATTATCAAAATATCATAAGTTAAGATAAATTAACGGTAAATAAATAATTAAATATCAAAGAACGAAGCTAAATTGAAAAATATGATGGAATAATGTTAAATATTAAGCATAAATGTGTATTTTTTTACTTTGTGAACTTATAATATTTTTAGGGACAGCTTACCTACAGTACGTCTGTCCGTTCTGTAGCTACGGGGTATCCGTGAGAGGGGAAACGATATTCTCTCGATGTTTTTCGTAAAAAATTCGACAAATTTGCAAATAGACAATAAAATGTGTGGGCGGAGCGATTGCGGTGACGTACTCGTCAAATAGACGTATAAAATATATTGCTGTTTATTTAAATGTTTTTTATCCGCATTCCTTTCATAGACACAGATCCAGCAGACGTACTGTACATCAGTTTACCTACTACTCAGCACTAGTGTAGAAAATTAAATTATCAAAAAATCAAACCTTTCTAGCGGAGCGATAATTAATCACTTATTTTTATTTTCATAAATCAAAAGTTTCGATGTTCTTTATTATTTTCTTTATTATTTTTAGATTCTTTGCACTCAATCTCCTGAAAAATTTGTATGGATAGATAGATCAAAGACGGACGCTCATATCCTTCCATCAAATGTACATCCTGTTATAGGTGGCACGGAAAATGGTCAATTGCTATACATCGGGAAAATTCACTTTCAAGGACAAACGATAATTGGAAAAATATTATCTGGAAATATAGGCGATGCTATTATGTACTACGTTTATAATAATTCAGAGAGGGCTGTGCATTCGTATCAGATACTAACCTACACAGAAAATTATGAAAAGTATCGAAATTTACAGTTCACTGATCATTCCTAAAAGTGTATCACTCTACAATCAGTGGTAACGCTAGAACTTTTTGGGGGGGGGGGACAAGCAATTTTCCCAACTTCCTACTTTTTTTAGAGGCCATAATACATGTAATCTTTGACTAAAGCTTGATTTTCATGCATCCGTTATCCGACGATACGATGATACGATATTAATTTTATTGGTAGAATTTAAAGACTTTGATTGGTTAGAAAATAACGCAGTTTTTAAATTTATTGCATTTTCATGTCTCCGTTTATCGGATATACGTTGGTGTCATTTTATATTTTCGTTTCCATATCGATTTTGCTATTTCACTTATATTTTTATTAAGGTTAGATTAAATTTGTCAAAACGTCCGTTATCGTATGAACGGGTCCGTTGACTAGCTGCAGTAAAATATTTACGGAAGAAAAGTGGCGCAAAAACGCTATGACCAATCAGAGCACCGTCGGACCATCGTATCGGATGCATGAAAATCAAGCTTAAGGAAGGAGCATATCAAAAATCTTAGGTCCACCGCGATGGGACTCAAATATGGCCGACTTAAATTCCGGTTTATCAGTGCCGTTCTAATTTTATTTAAAAAATTTAAAACTATGATGTAGGGTAGACGTGGGGTAGACCCACATTTTTTTTTTTATTTTACGTTGTGAATAAATGTTTGGAGTTATTAAAATTGTTATAAAAACATATTATTATAATAAAAATAGATAAGTTTTAATAATTATTTATTAACACAAACATCCGATACGCTACTGAAGTAGGTAAGTCAAATTGACGTCAAACAGAACTGTTAAGGATCCCCGAGTCCTTTTTCCGCCCACCATGCATGAATACATGGATAGCATTATGCTCCTTCCTTAATCTTCTTATTCAAAGCATGTAATAATGTATCGTGATAGGAATAAAAATCCTAGTTTAAAAAAATTGTTTTATTAATTTAAAACTTAAATTTAACATTATTGAACATTAAAACATGCATAAATAATTATTGTTATGACAACTCTAAAATTAAAATAAAATCGTACCATCCTTAATATTTTTAATTTGGGATTTAGACGTCGCGTTGTCATGACTAATTTCCCAACTCAATTATACATTGGGGGGGAGCATCCCCCCCAACACCCCCCATAGCTTCACCACTGTCTACAATATTTTTTTTCATATTTATTCCCTTTATCCTTTATTTCAAAGTATGTCAAATATTTACAAGAAGTGTTTTTATGGTTAATTTAAGTATAAATTATTGTCTAATGTCCGGCTGCATGAATATTACGCTCACCACGTAGTTAATGGACATCTAATTTTACGTATATTTATGAATAGAAGAATGCACTTTTAACAGGGTGCCTATCAAAATGTTAATATAAATAATAATAACTAATAATAATAATAACTTATTTTGGAGACGATATTCCTCCTCCCCCTATGTGCCTTCTCTGTTGAGGTTGGCGTTCAATATGACATATGACTCTCTCTCCAGAGCTTGATGGATAAGGGTGTTTCCGTCGGTGTGGGTTTAATCTCTTATGTTACGCAGCCATGACTTCTTTTTTTTCCTACCTATTCTGCGTTTTCCATCGAGTTTGCCTTCTATTATCAGCTGTATTTCTTCATATTCTGAATGCCGCATTATGTGTCCAAGGTAGGAAGTCTTTTTGATTTTAATTATGCCTGTTAGGAGTGCACGAGTTTTCATTTTGTTTAAAACTTCACAGTTTGTTGTTCTGGTGGTCCAACTTATCCTCAGCATCCGTCGGTACATCCACATTTCAAAAGCATTAAGTCGTTTGATGTCTTCCTGTTTTAGCGTCCATGTTTCGCATCCATATTGAAGCAGTGGCCACATATAGTATTTTAATGTTCTCAGTTCGTTGGTATAGCTATTCTCGGATGGCACAAAAACTTCCGCATGTTGAGGAAACCAGCCCTAGCTATTAATTTCAATCCTCCTTCTGATTTCCTTAGAGTGGTCTAGCTGGCTGTTCAATTTCCTGCCCAAGTAAATACAAGTGTGCGTGGTTTCCAGTTGGACGCCGTTTATCATTATGTCGGTGTTTCACTGTCTTGCGGATGTCTGTTGAAAATCACAGTTTTTGTCTTGACGGTGTTATTCTCTAGACTCGTCCTGATGCTTTCTTCAGTCAGTTTGTCCACTAGGGTTTGCAGCTAGTCTTCGTATTCTGCTAATACCACAGTGTCGTCTCCGTATCTTATATTGTTTATAATTTTTTCATTTATTTTAGCCCCTTCTGGACAATTTTGAAGAGGGTGTTCCGAACTGTGGTTATACAGGGTAGTCCGAACTGTATTCCGGAAACTTCGGCAGCATATTCTGCAAATAAAAATAAGTAAAAAAGTTTAAATGTAATGTTATAAAAAGCTTAGTATCGGAGGTATAGGGAGTAGAAGTTTCATTTTTATTTCGATTTTTTCCAACTAATTTCTGAAGTAACGTCAATATGTCGATGAAAATTGGTGTCTGGGGGATTTTTGACTTGAGAAATTTGATTTTGATGTCAATATGACTCCTATTTGTAGGTGGCACCACCTACATGCGTTTTAACTGTTTAGGAGAGTAATAACTTCTCGTCCGTACCTGTATAAAACTACTGAGTAAAAAAATATACATTTACGTTGTTTTTTACGTAAAAAAGGTCTCTTGGTAAAAATCGCTACGAGTAACCGTTCTCAAGATATTTAGAATGGAAATAGTCAATACATGTCATTATTGACAAAAAATAAACATGTTGACTAGTTAGTTATTTGACTGAAATGATAAATTTGGGAAATTTTTATTTTTTTATATTAATTTTTCTTTGAAAAAATTATGCCAAAACAATTTTTGTTGAACTTTACTATTACTAATTACTATTTAGTCAACATGTTTAATTTATGTTAATGATGACAGGTATTGATAAATTCGATTCAAAATATCTCGAGAACCATTACTCGTAGCGATTTTTACCTTTTTAACGGAAAGAACGTCATAAATTAATATTTTTTTACTTAATAGTTTTATACAGGTTCGGACAAAAAGGTATTACTGTTCAAACCAGTTAAAAAATCGGTAGGTGGCGCCCTCTACAAGTAGGAGTCATATTGACATCAAAATCAAATTTCTCATGTCAAAAAACTCCCAGATACCAATTTTCACCCAAATATTGACCTTACTTCAGAAATTATTTGGAAAAAATCGAAATAAATATGAAACTTAAATTTTACATCCTGTATCTCCGAAACTAAGAATTTTTACGAAGTTTTTTACTTATTTTTCTCTGCAGAATATAATACCAAAGTTTCCGGAATACAGTTCGAGCCACCCTGTATATTCGACGTATACGTTAAATAATGGTGACAATAGGCATCCATGTTTAACACCTCTTTGCATGTCTACGTACCGTATTATCAAAAAAAAAACGGCGTCATCAATGGTTATGAAATGAAGATCGCTGTCATTTTATATGTAAATTTATATGGAAAATGTCATCGATCATCATTTCCCAGCCAACTGGACGCCATTTTTATTCGATCATACTGTATCTTGCATTGCCCTTTTCTGTTCTGACACAACATTTGTGATTTCAGTATGTGTTCCTTATAATGATGATATCTAAGCCTACTTCAGGGAGAACTTCTAGTAATTTTTCGTGCTGTATTCGATCGAAGGCTTTTTTGTAGTCAACGTAACATGCGTACAGCCTTCTTTGGACTTCCATATACCTCTCTGCCATTAGTGTTAAACTCAGGATGGCGTCTCTTGTTCCTGTCCCTCTTCTAAAACCTTATTGTGATCTAGTAAGAGAATCATCACATGTTGTATACTCTATTGAATATTATTAGATAATATGCGCGTTCAGGAAACGCAGCGGCTGACCGACCGCTAAATATTTTGCTCAGCGGCTGACTTGCTTTGCGTGTAAAAAGAGACCGTTTAGGAAAACGGCTTACTCAGCCACTCAGCCGCTGACCGTCCGTGAACGCGCCCAATATAAGATTTTCGATACGTGGCTCATCAGACATATCGTTCTGTGGTCTTCGCATTTCTTCGCTTTATTCTTTTTGGCTAAGACTACGAAAGTAGATGTTACCCAGTCTTGTTAAGCTTGATTTTCATGCATCCGTTATCCGACGATACGATGATACGATATTAATTTTATTGGTTGAATTTAAAGGCTTCGATTGGTTAACCGTTTCTAACCAATCGAAGTCTTTAAATTCAACCAATAAAATTAATATCGTACCGTCGTCGTATCGTCGGATAACGGATGCATGAAAATCAAGCTTTATTCTGTTATATACTTTATTGAAAAATTGGGTCAGTATTTTGATGGCATTATCGCTTATGTTTTTGAAGTGATCTGCTGTTTTTGATCTTCGCCTGGTGCCTTATTGCTTTTTGTTTCTCGGATTGCTTTAATGACTTCATCTTTCAATATAGGTAGATGGCCTTCTTTCTCTATTTTGGGATATCCCTGCTTTCTTCTCGCATCTCTGAACAATTCTTTCAAACAGGAAACGACATTTAAAAAATGTTGCAGGATGTTATAAGAGTGCCTATCAAAAAGTTTCCAGCGCAAATAGGGGTTGCCCGGCAACACTGCGTTTGGCATTTGTATATAGTTTCTATAATAAAAAACTTAGGAATTTTGTATAAGTATTAAAGTATGTGTTAGGACGCAGTAGGAAAATATATTAACTTCTACAGGGCGGCTTAAAACGAGTGAAGTGTGAGTGGATCGGGATAATTTGTAGCATTAGAAGTTATAAAAAAAGATGGAATGTTTTTTTTATAAGAAGTTTCTTTTGGAAAAATATTAAAACAACTAACACTATGCGACGGAGCTGTTCGCCGGTGAGCAATGGGTCGTAAGCTAGTGAACATTGAAAATTAAACTGTGATACTTAGGTCTTTATAAGATACTGGGCACCAGTATTCCACCAGATACTGGCCATCAGTTTTCCTTTTATTTTCGAAAACTTCTTAGTTGAAAACTGAGAAATCAACTCAGAATATAGGTATTACTTATTTTAGGAATTACACAAATGAAACGCTGAGATAAACTAATAACTAAATATAATTAATAATTAATTAAATGTAAAATAGAATTAAATCAGACTATGAAAAAATAGATGTTTAAAAATATCTGTTGGTAAACTGTATGTAGCAAAGTAGATCACTCTTAATGGTAAGTTAAAACTGCACGCTTCTGAATATTATTTTACTAATTATTCCGCATAAAGTCTGGCGATCTTGGTACCAAAATGTAGGGACTCTTTATATTAAAAAAAAACGTACTATATGAATATCAGAAATATGCATAACATGTTAAAATTTATCAAAGTGATTCTAAAGCAATAAAATATATAATATGCCTCAAGGGCTTAATGAATTCAAATGAACTTAAGTTATATAGATATAAAATCAAATGATCTGGCCTTTTTATCCGTTCTGGTCACAAGCTAGTTGTGGTGAACTGCTACCGGAACTGGATTGTGGTATAAGATGTTTCTGGACTATGTTTCTGTAGGGACAAAACGTGGACCAAATGTCAAGTGCAAAAAAGACAAAATGGCACCAGAAACTGCTACCATAAAATGCCTTAAAATAAAATTCTGCCATAAACTAAAATGCTGCCATAATCTAAAACCCTATACAAAGAAAAAAAGGTATTAGGAAACGTTACTCAACGTTACGTTTAAAATAAAGGTCTTACCTCTGCTCAGAGGGTTTTTGCAAACAAATCGGCAAAATGCCAACAAACGCCGATAGCTCTATCGGGTTCAGCTTTAGCCACCAATATGGCGATAAAGGTAGGCACGAGGTTTGGTCGAAACTTCGACCGAACTGAAATAACTCGCCAGAAATAAACTTAAAAAAAATAAAAGATAATAACAATACTTAGAATGCCATCTCGGTGCCGAGGACCTAAACTTGATTTATTTAAATAAAATAAATCTGTACATTTATATTAATTATGTGAATTTTAAATAAAATGCTACAAATTTTTTAAATGGAACATCCTGTATATTATTGTCATTTTTGCAACAATATCCTAAGATATTCGACGTGCTTAATTTTGTCTCCAAAAGCAATTAATATCTACTATTTTAATTAAACATTTTGGCGGAAAATTTTTGATTGGCACCCTGTTAAAATTGTATTCCACCAGTATTAATGTACGTAAAGATTTTGGTTAACTACGTGATGAGTGTAATAATCCCGCAGCCGGATTCTGTACTATTATACGTTAAGTAATAAAATATTGTTATCATTGTAAGTTTATAGTTTTCCTCCATTTCAAGCGCTTAAGAACCTATTTTCATGTAACAACTTAGGTTTTGCTTTCAACTTCGTCTGCCTAACTCGAATCTCTTAAGTGTGTATTCGTGTATCTGCTGAATATGTATAAACAAAATGCCCGTTGTTTCTTTGCTTCAATCTACTGAGGTGTTAGTTGAGGAGAAAGAGTCCTGTTAAAAACCCCGTGACAGTCCGAAGAGTGTTCTTACTTAAATCAAGGAAAATCTCTTTGATTTCTCGGTCGTAAGTTCAGAAAAATTTCTTCGACTGTTAAGACACTCACAAGACTCCAATTTGCAGCCTAGAACCAAAGTCACCCAGGATTGTGGGCCTCGTCTAACACAGCTGCGAAGGCAGCCAACAGCAACCCGCCGCAAGGCTCTAAATTGGGGTCTTGGACTCCCGTTTGCTCCTTTTGTTTTCATCATCTGTTTTTTTTTTCATCTACTAGGTTGCAGACGGTGCCTCGTGCATCGTTTGCTTCCTTGTTTGTATTTTTTGGAATCGTTGTCATCGCTTGCTGATTCCTTACCGTACTGATGATGCTGGAAGGCGGTTACACTGGTGTACGCTGATGTGGGTGTGGTTGTTGTGTGAGAGTGTGAATGTCTACAATAGTGTACATTGGTGTATACGGTTGCGAGTTTGTTGAGGGCTTACCGATTGATTTTTTCCTTCTGTTTTTGTATATTCCCCTTACTATTTCGATTCTTATTTAATAAAACATTTTGCAAAATGTATATATAATTCTAGGCCAGATAGTAAGAAATTTTGATATAGGTACCCATCTTACCTGTAAAATAACCCCTCAAGAGAACGAATTTCAGAAAATCGTTTTTAACTGCTCAATGGGCATGTTCCAAAAAATATAAATTCGCAAATAAATCATTGTATTGCATAGATTAAGTCTTCATTACTTACAATACATAGGAAATTAGGAAAAATTCCAATATATCATTTTAGAAATTAAATTATAATTTCAAACTTGAACATTCCCGGTTGAGTTGTCACGTACATAGCCTTCACCAATCACGTTTCAGATCGTAGAAAGGGAAGTTTCATATCATATGTTGGTATAACTATGGAGGGCTTAAAAAAGGAGATTTATCGGCAATGGGCAAATTTGAAATTTCTGTCCCCACTTTTAAGCAGCTTCCTCGGTTTGACAGCAGAGGCACTGCGATCGACTGGGATACTACATTTTCATTGTTAGTATACGATTTAATTGTGTTTTTAATAAAATTTATAGTTAATTTACTGAATTTTAGCAGTACAACAATGAGTCGTGGTAGAAATTGCTTTGTACCTGGCTGTACAAGTGGGAATCCCAATAAAAACAAGGCAAATAAAGAACGGGGTGAAAGAAACCCAAGCCTTTTCAAAGCTCCTAATGTAAGTAGTATGACTATTTATTTATAAAAATTATGGATAGATGTTAAGAAAAACATTAAAATTATATACTGTCAGTGTACAGATTAAATTATAAACCAAATTAATAGGAAATATAGCCTAAAATCAACATGTGTATAACATAACCTAGGAGGCCTTGTTATAAAATTAAAATAATTTAATACTTACTAGGTGCTAAAATTACCTGTTGACATGTACCTATATTAACCACAGTTTGAACAGTGCTATTGAAAGTGAATATTAAATATTTATACTTCAAGATCGTATTCTCAAAATAACAGCTTTAATAGTGAAAAATGTTTTTTTTTTATTTTATTTAACAATTATATATCTTTTATTAGGATCCTAGCTTGCTACAGCAGTGGCAAAAGGCGATACCCAGATCAGACAAGACACTTAGCAGCAAAGATGCTGTTTGTGAACTACATTTTCTAGATGAAGATATTTTGACTCATTATGAGATCAAATTAACTGACGGAACTATCAGTAGAATTGAGCGGGGTAGACCATTATTAAAGGAGGGTTCAATTCCAAGAATTTTTCCTAACCTGCCTAACTAAATAAGTCAGCGTATATACATATTCACAACTCTGTATTTTTGTGCTTTTGAAATAAACTGAGTACATTATTTATTCATTAATATTTTATTTACAAACCTACCTTATATTAATAAAGTGAATATCAATAGAAAAACCTTTACAATTATTAGGTGACATTGAATATAATATATCTTGAATTTAATTGTCTACGAAACAGTGACAATTTGCAAAACTTTGCTAATGACATTAAAACTTACAATTCAACGCTAGAAAAAACGCTATTGAACACAGGAAACGTTTCAGCTCAATATACCTACTCTCTAGTTTCAGCTATAAAAAGTTATGGAATAGATAACACCGATCAAAGGGTGCAATGGTAACGTTCGTCTTCAGTTTCCATTTATGATTAAGTTATTCCTGATAAAATACTCTTAATTTTCGTTATTCAATCTGTCAATCGCCATAAAACCACTACTAGTTCGAAAGATTTTAATGTTTATTAAAATGGTATCACACTAAACTGCATGTAAACATGTCAATTTCAAATGTTTTAATGAAAAACTATGAACCTTTAAACTGCATCAACAAAACTATTAATAAAACACTAACACAATCACACCATAAACTATTTCATTCGCATTTCTCATCAAGAAACAATTACTGTTTACATCAAATCAAAGGTTGAACTGGTGATAAATTTGTTGCTGGAACTTCTATCTTTTTTGTACAACAGTTCTAGGGAAGATTTATTTTAGCAGCTTATATGTTTCTTCGGTCGTGTATGCACTAAAAAGAACCACATAATAAAACATTTTTATAATATCAACTTAGGAAAAGGATATATTAAACCGGCATCTAATATAACCTAACTAACTTTTCAAACTCAAATTTAAGGTTTTGTATTCACAATTTTAGCCACGCACATTGCTCAATTAGAAAAACCACGTTTCTAAAAGCTAACTCTGGTAAAAATATGCCCAAATATTAACTTGGCTCTATAATTTATAACAAAATAGTTATTCTTGCCATAAGAAGCTGTGTATTTCTAGTATCCCAATCATCACAAGCGCCCCTAACGGCGATTTTCGAACTTCATTTAGATCTCAAAAACTGGGCCCATAATTTTTGCGTTCGATTCGCCTCCTCCTTTTAGACTCCATAGGTATAACTGATTGCCTGGCTCATGCGTATCGGGCGCAGCCATTTTGGATTTTCTATGGAGTGTAGAGGTAAGGAGAAATAACTCCGTGCATTAAAAATGGTAAAAAAAAGGGAAGAATTAGGATGGCGCTGCTGTAGCAAGATCCTAAAATTTAAGACATGCGCGGCACATTTTAGAACAGATGATTCAAGACATAAATATTTGACAAGCAAACGCGAAGCCGCGGGTTTCAAAAAAATACAATTTTATTTTCATGTTGCATGAAATAAATTACAGATTTTTATTCAGCAGCAATAGACTAGGCCCTTTTTTTATTGTTTCTCATAAGTTATTTCGCAAATGTCATTCAAGACAACGAAAAAATATTCTGATCGTTTTAGCTTAAAATTAATGGTAATTATAATTAAGAAAATTTTTATTTAAAGTAATAATTGGTGATGGATTTAAAATAAATATAATGCAGCTTTAAAATAACTTCATACCTACATTTATTTAGTATAAAAGTAAGTCAATATGTGGTTTTATTATCGATTATTCAGAAGCAATAGACTGAGCGTTTTTTTATTGTTTCTCATAAGTTATTTCGTAAATCTCATTCAAGATGAAAAAGCTTTAGTTTAAAATTAATGTTAATTATAATTAGGAAAACTTTATTTGAAGTTTAATTGATGATATGGGATTTAAATAAATATAATGCAGGTCAAAAATAACGTAATACATTTTATTTAGTATAAAAATTAAGCCAATATTATGTAATTTTATACTATACAAGTATTTATTTACTTTTTGCCATCGTAGTTGCCATTCATTCAGAATAGTGGATTTTAAATGTTCGATAGTCGGATGGCTTAATTACCTTAATATCAACTACTTCTAGACAAGAATCGTGTGCAGTATTATCTTCTTTTTCACTCCCAGCTATTCCAACATGGCTTGCATGGCTTGGAATAATATAATTTTATAGCAAAACTCTGTCTAAAAAATAAAAACAAAACTTTTTTTGGGTAATGTTTGGTTATATTTATTTTTATTCTCTTATCTATGGTTACTTTTCATTTTTTAGATTCATGCGTTTTTAGCGCCACTGTGGTCATTTGGCGAACCCTTATTCTTCCCATTTTGTGACCACTTTTTCAATAAAAGTCCCGTAAGAGTTGTTTCTCCTTACCTCTACCTGCCTCTACACTCCATAGGATTTTCTTATTATTTAAATTATTTTTCTTCGTGCTTTTCAGTTCAGCCGTAAATTTTCTTACCTTTTCTTGGTTATAACTTTTATATTTTATCTAAATAAATTCACAAAGTTTATTTCGAGTCGAAAACCAGCCAATCATATTGGCGAGGGCTACATACATGATCGCAGCGCGCGTAAGTGTGAAATTCAAACTTTTACCTCATTTTTTGGCATAATATTAAGTTTTATACGGGCTAAGTAGCAAGCACTAATTAGGTTGAAATCTGCATAATTACGTAGAAATTGAAAAACATAAAACATGCCCATTTTTTCACTTAAAAAATATTTTGAAAAAAAAACTTCATTTTTTAGACCAGATAGTTACTTTCATACAAAGAAAAGTATTGGTAACTTTCATACACATCGCTTTATAGGGCTTAGTTTTGTAACTTAAAAAACCTTTGGCCAAAATTTCAGACTTTTAGAACAGATTTTTCACAAAATTTTGAATAAACGTTCACCCCTAATTTCTCAGTCTAAGTCTCTTTAAGGGATTGCCAAGGATTGTTTCTTAGTGCTGAATTACGTCACTTAAGAAATCACCTAGAATAGATTTTGAAAATTTTTACACAAACGTTCCTTCCTAATTGCACCCCCTTAAGGGTTGAATTTGTTTCTTATTGCTCACTTACGTCACTCAAGAAATTTGTGTACTAAATTTCACACTTCTAGGCCAAACAGTTTCGGCTATGCCTTGATAACTTAATCAATAAACATTGAGTGTTATGTGAACAGATGATATTACATATTTTGCAACATTAATCGAAAAACGATATTTATTATTATCATTGATTAATAATATTAATTAGTTCATTATATTGCAAATTAAAGCTGGTTATTACTTATATTATCAAGTTCAAAGTGTTAATATGTTTATGAACGTTGCTAATACAATCTAAAACGAATTTGACCCTATGTCAATACCCTATTGGCAAGAAAAGTCTTGGGTCGATACTTACATGTTTAGAAATGAATCGCCATAGGGATTTTGTAAGTCGGAAAGACAAAAATTGTATGTTATAAAACCACATAATATTCGATGCCATCTTATTGTACCGAGCGTATAGGCATAAGTATAGGCTTGGTGCATTTCACATGATTCTTAAAATTTCGACAGCAGCGCTCTTTACGGCAGAAATCAGAACTTTCCGGCTCTGTATTTCACCCATACCCGGTTACAGTTCATGTTCATCGCATTTAAATAATATTAAAATCGTAGCTTTGTCATAATATTTAAGTTTTTTAGTTTTTACAAGTGCAGGTATTGAAACTATAAAACACTCAGGTACGGGGTTTGTGTGATGTAACGTTGTTTCGGGTAGTAAAAATTAACTGAAAGAGAACCTGAACAGGGCATCACTCTGTGTTGTTACTATTTCAGATGCTAATAAAATTGTCGAAAGAATGTTAACAGTAAAGGAGGACGTAATTACGTAGTTGTTGCACAGGTTGTTGGGTGCAATAACATTCAATTATTTAATTGACTCTCCCAGATGTTCCACTCTCCCGAAACAATATTTTATAGCTTCACAGCTTCGCACATTTGGTTTGCTTCACACCGATTTGATCAGAAGCAAAAATGGATTCAAGTAGTTCGAGGAAACAAGTGAGTAAACCAAGTGCATGATCAAAAAATTAAATAGGCATATATGTACTAGAAGATAAAATATAATTTGATCAATTTTAATAGTATACTTTTTTTAGTCAACTAGTACTTAAAAATTTTAAGGACATCTTCTAAAATTATAATTATGTACCTTTAAAAATTTTCGTTATAGCCTAGATAGCCCCAGTTATGTCCCCACTAGCAAAAACCATGTCTAAAATAATGCTTATGTTCAAATAATCAATCGATCAACCGAATGTTCAGAAAATCAACCGAATTAACGAGAGCTCCAATTTTTTTCATAACTTATTGTGTTAGGATACCACTTTTCTTATTTCTACAGGGTGAGTCTTACATGAGTGCAAATATTTTCAAGGGTGGTGAATCTCGATTAAATAAAAATCATATTTTTTCTTTACCATTTTCCAAATAAGTCCAAAAAAAATGTGTTATTCAAGTTTGAAATTTTTTAAAAAAATTGATTTATTTAAAAAAAATAAAGCCACCGGATTTTTTGGTGTGCAACCCCTTTAATGCCGTAATTATACAGTAAAGTCGTAACTATGCTATGAACTCATCTAAAAATGTTTATTAGGTTGACTATTAAATTATAATGCAAGTTAGACCTTCTAGAAGATATCAAAATATTTACTTTTTAATTTTTTTTGGAGTTATCACAAATTATACTTCCTAACACTTAAAATAATTATATAACAAATTTTTCGTGTATTGACTATTTAAACCCGTGTATTTGATTAGTCCGCTGTTTGCAGTATTCTCCGATGGTGGCAGCACCGGCAGAGAATGCACCAAACCTACTGACTGTACCCTTCGTCCACACGAAAATCGGCACCCAAAACCCGAAATTCCGACCGTGTATAAAATAAAGAAAAAGTCTAAAATAAATATTTGCTTGCATTTTCGGTTCAACAGTAGAAGATTAATATGTTGCTTATTATACATTAACAATATGAGTCCTAAAACTGTTATTCTCCATTTTTTGTTTGTTTTGTGGTGTCTTGTAGGTTTTGCAAACTCGATCATAGGTATGTACTTATAAAAATACAACAAAAAGAAAAAAAAAAGAATTCTGGTTGTTCTTTTAGACTATTATTGGCGACCAAATTTGGGCTTACTACCAAAAGATGCATATTCAGCAGGCAAAAATGCCAATGGAGATTATGTTTTCATCGGTCAAGTAGCCATAGAAAAACACCCTGGGGTGTATCCAGCTCCAATATATATGGGGAGGCGAATTGTAGCATCTAAAGATGGACCTCAACAGGCTTGGAACTTCGTGCAGGTTACTAAAATAGCATAACATGTTTTTTTTTAATTTTTTATTAGCACAGAGGAAAATTAAAAACATCAAAAATGTATCTCCAAAAAAGTCCTATGGGTACTTCGCCACTGTAAGAAAATTTACAAAATAAAATAATTATTTTTTGTAAACACTGATGCTGAATTAATCCAACGAAGTCAGCAGTGGTTTACAATAAACAATCGTGTCTAACAGACAAAAAAATGCTTAACATTTCGGAAAGTATATCTCCTTCCATCGTCGGAAGCAAAAAACATTGGCGCCGCGCCGGGAGGCACGTATAGCCACAGCCACCCATACTAAAATATGTTAATATCTCAAAAACTGCGACTTTGACTGATTTTTTGATGTTATTACAAATTTTGTTCGCTAGCTACTGTAATTTTGGAGTTACGATTTTTTAAAATTTTTAACCCCCTCCTATATCCCCTTACCAACCCCCACCCCCACCAAAAACTAATGGGCAAATTCTCGGGTGCCACAGTATTTTTATGCCAAATTTGGTTAAAATCGGTTCAGCGGTTTTTGAGTTATCGTGTTACAGACGGACAGACAGACGGACAGACAAACGGACAGAGAGCAGACAGACACCATGAAAATATTTTATATTTAGGTCATTTATGACCCAAATAAGTCATTTTGAGTGAAATTAAAAAAACTTTTTTTGTCGATCTTAATAGCCTACCATACATATTGGTATGGTCGGCTAAAAATACAAAGAACAAAGAAAAAAATATTTAAAATATCTAAATGCAACTATTAAGAACACTTTAGTTTTTTTTTTAAACAGATACGTCTACAAAAACCGTTAACGTTCTGTTAAAATGGCATTATATCAAGCAGGGGCGGATACAGAAATTTATTTTAGGGGGGGGGCTCAAATAAAAAGCAATGTAGAATGTGCTTTTTAGGGCGCCATTTTTAACCCAACAGCCTAATATTTAACCTATTTTATAGATTTTAGGGGGGGGGCCGGGCCTCATGGGCCCCCCTCTGTATCCGCCACTGATATCAAGTTAAACTTCAAAATTAACAATTACTACCTGATAACAATTACTTAATAAGGTAAAACCACACACACACACAAAAAGCTTCAATCTTTTTGTATGATTATTTTTAATTTGTTTTTAATTTTTACGTATGTCATGTTTATTTATGTTATGTCCTTTAAAATCAAAGAAGCGATTGCCATTACCTACCTCTACAGATGCATCAGCAATACATTTTTTTTATTAGATTGTATTAAAAAATTGGTCAAGTGCGAGTCGCACTCGCGCACGAAGGGTTCCGTACCATTCATTATTTATACATTACTAAAAATTCTATTAATCAATAATAAATATGTAAAAAGTAAAAATAAATATGGAAAAATATGTAAAAATTAAGAAAAAACGATTAAAAAAAAGTCGCCCTGACTGGGATTCAAACCTGCCTTCAGGGGTGGATAGGCCATATAGGAAAACGGGAAAATTCCCGGTGGGCCGGTGGAAAGATGGGCCGGTGGGCCGGTCCCGATCAGAACTCAAAAAAAGATTGATTTAGTTATAATTAAATGGTTAATCTTCTAACCAAAATTACGTAAGATTCTAGTGACTGCCTAACTAACTAATCAGTTTGCATCAATATAATGGTTAGTTGCTTTTAAACATAAACATCAATTTTTAAAATAACTAGGTATTGTTAGAGGTTTTCCTCTGAGACACATATAATTTTAATAAACATCTAATAATTTTGTTTGTTGTTCCATTTGAAATGTTTTTTTTGTTTGCTTTGTGCAAATATTTTCAGGGCTGGTAGATATGAATAAAAAAACATACTATATTCACTTTGCCGTGTTTCAAATAGGTCCAAAATAACCGAGTTATTAAAGTTTGAATTTTAAAAAAAAACTGATTTTTTTTTAAAAAATTGCCGCCTAAATCTTTCTGTATTTGCATCACTTTTTGTGCCGTAATATCAAAGATTAAGAAAGTATACCGTGGGAACATTTGCAGTGAACAGGAAGTTCTAAAAAATTTTCTAAAATATACAGGAAAATTTAAAAGAAAAAGCACGATTTTCAACATCTTTTTTTAAAAAAAAACTCATAGACGTGTCCTGGCACCTGGTGGTGACATAATATACCACCCCTGTAAATATTTGCGCTTATTTAAGACTCATTCTGTATAGTTTTACCAATATTCTTTTATTAAAACACATTTATATCCACTGCTTAGGTATTGCCTAGGTTTTTTTCGTTTGTCGCATTATCATACAAGATGCCAAATGTAGAAACTAGGAAAAGTTACGTGATGAGAATTATACCAAAATTAAGACACGTATACATGACGAGGCTGCTGCTGTACCAGAAAAGGGAGACTTTCTTTCTACAATCTGTAAGAAAGTATATACCTGAAAATCTAAAAATAATGTATTTCATAGAGGATTGGGCCAGCTGATGAACTGAATGAATCAGGAAGTCTTAAAATTTCTCAAAACCGTGATTCAAAATCGTAGCATATTCAAGATCAAAAACTGTGAAAAAAACCCTGTGAAACTGAGCTATTTTCTAGTAAGAATTCAGATGTCCGACCCGATATTGATCTTTATAAAAACTTAGATCAAGAAAATTTCAATTTCAATATTTTTAAAAAATCGGAGGCAAAAGAGTTTTTTTCGCCCGAGCGAAAATCACCCTTACTTGGGGTGATTTGACCCTTATCTAGGGTGTCCCAGAAATAAGTGCAAGTATTTTAAGGGGGGTAGATTTGGTCAAAATAAACATTTTTTCTCTTTACCGTTTTTCAAGTAAGCCCAAAATAAACTTTTTAACCAAAATTTTACTTTGAAAATTTAAACAAAAAATGCTTTTTTGCTTAAATTTTGAGAACCACTGGATCTTTTCTGTATTTTCTTTCATGTAAATTTAATCTACTACCTATTGTCAGTTGTCAGATTATCAAGAAATTATGGTTTCTTAACTTAAAACTAAAAAAATTCCAAAAATTTCTTCAAAAAATTTCAAATTTTCGCAAAAAAAACTGATAGGCGTGTTTCTGAGGCCGAAATATACTACCAGTTAAAATACTTGCACTTATTTCTGGGACACCCTGTATATTAATAAATAAAATATGTTTCTTCGTTATGGTCATTTTGTTTATGTGGATTCGGGCCGGTTGCCTGTTATTCCCGGGCCGGTTTCCACTTATCCATCCACCCCTGCCTGCCTTACTACGGCTCCAACGTCATAGCAGAGTAAAGTCCTAACACTTTAACCACGCGACCATCGAGGACTTGAAAGATTCTATGTAAAATTCTTACTTAAAAGATAATGTTTAGTGAAAGTACTTTTTTATTTATAAACATTTATTTAATTCTGTTTTTACTATTTGTTCTTATAGCGGCAACATAGATACATTATTTGTAAAAATTTCAACTGTCTAGTTATAACGGTTCATAAGATAGACCTTTGTGACAGACGGACTGACGGACGAACGGACAGCGAAGTCTTAGTAATAGGGTTCCCGTTTTTACCCTTTGGGTACGGAACCCTAAAAAGCGTTTATTCTTTTTCTTTTAGAGGCCATCGCTTCTTTCATTACGACGGAAAGAGGTATACTTTCCGAAACGTTGAGCATTTTTTTGTCTGTTAAGGTGCGTTCAAACCGAGAGCGCCGCTCCGCGCCGCGCCGCGCGATACATTTTTTAACATGTACTTTTGAAGTGTTTTTTAGCGCGCACAAAAGTATAATATACTTTTGTTATAATATAACATATTATGTTAAAAAATGATTTGCGCGGCGCAGCCGATGTGAATGCACCTTTAGGCAAATTAAATTTGTGTTGGATTAATGCAGCAGTGTTTACAAAAAAAATACTATTTTATTTTGTAGATTTTCTTACAGTGGCAAAATACCCATAGGACTGAATCCGCCACAGAAGTATAGACATTTTTTATCAAAAAAGTAGTCAGTATTGGTCAGTGACAGTGTGCTGCTGTTTAATTTGCTTTAATGTTTTAGATTCTTTGCACCCCGTACCCTGAAAAATTCGTATGGCTTCCTAGAACTCAAGCCAATGTTCACATGCTTCCTGATAATGTATACCCTGTGATAGGTGGCATTGAGGACGGTAAATATCTCTACATCGGCAAAATTCACTATCAAGGACAAACAGTCATTGGAAAAATATTATCTGGACATATAGGGAAAGCTCTAATGTACTATGCTCATAACAATGAAGAAATGGCTGTCGATACATATCAGCTGCTAACTTATACAGAAGATTATGATAAGTATGGAAATTCAATCAACGATATTGGAGCTAGTGTTGTTTAATAGTAGCTTTAAAAATTACCTATAAGAAATAACCTACAATAAAAATTATTTTTTTATTCCGTTTTTTATTTTTAATTAAATAATAATTGAGTCAGATAATTTAACTTTTCTCCTTAGCCAATCTCAGCCAATGTGATAAAACGTCAAATCACAAGAGAGAAAATGGAATTATCTCCTGAATATTTTACATTTGTTCTTTATGCCGTTATTACACACATACAAATTTTATTCCATGTGGCATTACGTATATATATATACCGGGTGCCCCCCTCCCCTGTTTTTCTTGATAGAATAATAAATACATGTTTAATAAATATGGTTTATTAAATTATTGTAGATAAATTAAATAAAAGTAAACACTGCAATAAATTTAAATAAAGTCAATAAACTAATTTCGATTTTGAAAATAGCTACTAACTGTCACTAGAAACCTGACATGACGACATAAGCACTCCTGGTTGCCATTTCATTGAAAAATTGCTTTTTATTCAAAATCTGAGCTTGATAGGTATAGGAAACCCTAATATAGTTTGAAAGAGCATTTGAATCTGCTTCGATTTATTTAAAAAAATACGGGTGTTAATACAAGTTTTTATGTAAAATAAATATATAAAATAAACCAGCAATTTTTGATACCCCTGTATATATTAAACGAAGCAACCAAATTTTTCAGTAAAGTTAATTTCTCTGGTTTAAAAGTCAGCGAGAGAATTAATTCTGAAAAGCAATGTACTATAGTATGTATTATAGCATGCATGTATTCATTGGCGTAACTACAGGGGTGCCCGTGGGTGCCCCCCCCCCAAGTACTGCTGTGCACCCTCCAGAGAAATCCTGAATGACTCTTGGCTACGTATTAATTTTTATTTGCTTGTGTTGCAGTAAAAATTATGTTTCCTAGTTTTGTTTAGTTAATATTATTTTGTTGTGTTCAAAAAATGTGCTAATTTTTATTTTTTTAGAAAATTTGTAGGTATTTAAGTAATCTACGGGAACCCCAAGTAGCATTTGGACGTTATCTAACGTCGGGTATACGTCGCGTTCAACAAACCCGACGTCGGGTACCAACGTCGGTTCGACCGCCTGACGACCCTTATTTGCATCTAAATGGGGAATGCAGATTCGGGTCGCCTCGACGTCGGTATCTGACCTAATAGGGAATGTAATTCTACCAATTACCAACGTCATATTACGTTGGATTTTAGTTACTTAAAATTCGTCGCTAAGCATTTACGTTACGTTTGGTTTCATATTCGCTACCAAGAATACATTGTACATCAAACCTATTGTGTATAGAAAATGCTTAACAAAACAAAAAGATTAAACAAAATTTGGTCGATTATCATAAAAAATATAGGGTGTTCCATTTAAAATAGTGGAAAAAAACACAATATTTAATTTTGACTCGCCTTGCATATATCAAACAAAAATGCAAATTTTCGTCGACTGAATTTTGAAGAAGACACTTATACAGTACTTCCAGTTAAAAAAATTTAAAATTCTTCGAATTTAGAATTTTGAGAGGGATTTAAATAAGCAGTAAATTTAGTATAAAAAACGGTTATAATTCAAAAACCACTCGAGTATATACAGGGTATTCCTTAATGACATGCTAATATTTAAGGGGGCGATTCTTAAGCCTATTCCAAGAAAAAAACTTCTGAATGTATGTCCTAAACATCTTAATTTTTAAGACACCGTATGGTAAAATTTTCCAAAAAAATTTTTTTTTCGTTTTAATTGTGATGTTTACAAAATTTGATACACGTCTTCTATGTATAAGGCCGATAGCCGATGTAGAAACGATTTCCTCACAACAATCACCGCGTCAGATTTTTAGCGATATGACCCTGAAGTAAAATGACTGTTTTGAAATGAATTTTTTTAAGCAAAAACTACAAGTCGCACGAAAAAAATCGAGAGATGAAAATTATTTAGACATGAATGAAGATTTTGAATATAATTTTCATTTTAAAAGAAGCCAGTGGCGTACCATATTTTCTTCCAAAACATTCAATGTAAAACCCGTATAGACGCCAATGGTTGAAGTAAATAAAATAGTTTGTACATCAAAAAACACACTTTAATGCATAGCTATGTATCAAGTTTCATAAAAATATCCATAATAACATCAAAGTAATTATAAAACAAAGTGCCATTCTACAAAAATTTAGCACCCTGTATCTAAAAAGGGTGTTTAGGACATTCATATGAAGTTTTTTTTTCTTGGAATAGGCTTAAGAATCGCCTCCTTAAATATTAGCATGTCATTAAGGAACACCCTATATGACATTATGATATTTTTGAAATGCTAATTTAATGGCAAATCCACTGAGCTAAAAAAATATACAGTGTGGCGCACCTCATTCGCCTCGGTTGATTATACGAAAACGGAAAGATGTAGAAACAAAATATTTTATAGGTATATGTGGGGAGTCAATGGGCACAATTTAAAATTATTTTGAAATATACAGAATACAGAACGGTGTTTCAGAACTAATATCCGTACCAAAGTTATATTTTTTCTTATGGAACACCCGGTATTTTATTTAATTTTTGGATTCTTGGGCCCAAAAAAAGACATTTATTATAAGGGTTAAATATGTTTAAAATCATTAGTTTTTGAGATATTTAAAGATATTTAAATATGCATGCTGCAAAAGAATTAATTATCAATACCCTGGTCATCACTTTTCAGAATTAATTCGTGTGCTGAGTTTAAAGACAAAGAAATAAACTTTACTAAAAAATGTTATTCCTTCCTTAAATTTATACAGGGGTACTAAAAATTAGTTATTTATTTTAAGGATTTATTTTACATAAAAACTTTGTTATTTCAAATGCAACACCCTGTATTTTTTAAATAAATCGAAATAGTTCACTAATTTTTGGTACCCCTGTAAAAATTTAAGGAAACAATAACATTTTTCAGTAAAGTTTATTTCTTTACCTTTAAACTCAGCACAAGAATTAATTGTGAAAAGTAATGTACAGGGTGTTGATAATCAACTCTCTTGTAGCATGCATATTTAAATATCTTTAAATCTCTCAAAAACCAATTATTTTAAACATATTTAACCCTTATAATAAATGCCGTTTTTGAGCACAAGAATCCAAAAATGAAATAAAATACGGGGTGTGCCATAAGAAAAAATATAACTTTGGGATGAATCTTAGTTCTGAGATACCCTGTATATTTCAAAATAATTTTAAATTGTGCACATTGCCTCCCCACATATACCCATAAAATATTTTGTTTTTACATCTTTCCGTTTTCGTATAATAACCGAGGCGAATGACGTGCGCCACCCTGTATAATATTCCATTTAAAAATATAATACTTTGGTTTGAAAATATGTTTCAATCACCCTGTATCATTACAAATTACTACTTACTACTTATTTTTAAAATTCGCGTTGCAATTGACTTCATATGAGTGTCATAAAAGAATGAAATAAAAATCACAATCCGAAAACCTAATATAGAACTATTTCGGAAGCCGGGGTACCCTGTATAACTAGCTATACCCCACATAATGGTTTTATATTCGGATCGAATCCTGATCCTATCAGACATGGATATAAATCAGGACAAAACGCCGGACATATGATGGGCGATATTAAACGCGTATTGTATCTGTACGCCGGGAAGCCATAATGGGGCTATCGAAAAACTTTTACGGCCACAGGCAGAAACAGAAACCCGACGGCGGCCTACCGAAAAGGGGGTTATGGGAAATCCAGAGAACTATTAATCAGATTATGGAAGGACATACATCATGGGGATTTGCAGGATGCCAAGTATTTAAAAAAACGAATTGTAAGTAAAAAAGTCTTTTAAAGCTTATATAGGATTCTGATTATCTAATAACTACAATCCTAAAAAAAATCTACAGTATATCTCCGGATCGTCTTTAAAATAGGAAAAACTTTTAAAGTGAAACTTCTTTGCGGGCGTTGGCGTTGGGAGTAAAAATTCAAGGTCTTGACACACGAGCTAGCGTCAAGAAAACCGATAAGTTACCCCTATCTACCCCTTTTTAAAAAATGTTTTAAAAAAATGACTAAGACATATTTAAAAATATGTCATTTTTTACTTTATTCGATAGAAAATAACACTCTGAATAGAATGGCATATCATATGTCAACTTTTAACATCTTTGCGTATGATTTATTTGAAATTATCACTTGCGGTTCATTACGAAAATGTGACTCGAAATACCAAGTGTGTGGTATCAAATTATTCGTAAAAAAATGCCTTTTCCAAATGTGTTAATGAGCCACCCTCGTTCCATTTGAAAAAATTGAGATATGATTAAAAATATGATTTGGGCATCTTTTAACCGGCCGGCCTGAACAGGACGCTAAAAACATTAGATGATCAAATCTATTTTTCCAAGGCTCCTTGATTAAGAATTGGTGTTTTTAACTTATAGTCATGGCACTCTAGATTAAAATTTAAAATACGATTTGTTATTAAGCGAGAATGTCAAAAATTGACATATGATCATGTTTCACCAGAAATAACTACAACTTTTGATTTTTAAATGGCACCCTAGGTATATTTTTTTGAATATATTTCCGGTGAAACAGGAAGTGATAAAAAACAATTGAATATGTCAATCAATTCTAATTTAAGTCATATACTAACATACCAAATCTCGTTTTTTTATCAGAAAAAATAAAAAAGTTATAGGGGGTGAGTCACTTTTGAGACGCACCCGGTATACATAGTCCGGCAATAGATGCGTCGGGCATCTGTAGCTTCTAGAATAAAAAAGTGCAAACCTAAAGCCTAAAGTATATACGAGGATGTATTTTTTGAAAATATTTTAACTTCTATAGGGTAGCTCAAAAAAGTAAGTGGATCGGGATGATTTTTTTTAAATGGAACACCCTGTATATCATTGCATTTTTGGCTTCCTTTCAGATCACTCTACATAATCCTAAAATATGACTAAATATATTTAGATAGTTTCAGAGATATTAATAAATAAATAAAAAATATATTTTTTTGAGTCTTCCTTTAAAATTTTTTTAAAAATACAGGAACTGTC